TGGGATGATTTTGAAAGTGCCTTAAAAGAGTTCGAAAAAGTATGGAATTATAATTTAATCGCTTATCAGACTACTTATACTCGTTACATCCACACAGAAAGCAGATTGCTGAAGGATTTCAGGTTCAAATACCTGTTTGTATCGTTTAATTGTACGTTTGGTCATAAACGGAAATCGGAAGGTTTGAAAGTGAGGCAAAAATCGTAAGATCTTTAACTAATATCTTATGTTTAGGGTCTAAATTCCGTAATTGTCAATCTAAATTCCGTGTAAGACTAGAGGAGCAAGGATATGTCATCAAATCCTACATGTCTGCACAGAGTTCATGCCTGGAGGATTTTCGCGCATGCATACAGGAAAACTCCTACTAAAACAAGACTTCATTTATACATATTGAAACTCAGAGTCATTGCGATCAGGTTCCTCGAGTCTGAACATCGTTATTGCAATCGCTCCTACTTCGGCAGTCGGAATGCTTTGCTTCGACTCCCGATTTTCATCCCTCATTGGGTATGACATTTTATGGTGCATGACAAATGTTTCCCTATAATATTAACGAAGAAAAAATCTCAATCTAACAATATGAAGTCAAAGTGCATCATGTTTCCGTGTACATCGTTTTGGTAACTGACCGGAAGACTAGTGTGATATTTATACGAACTAATGATTCTTTCGTACTTGATTGCAAATTCTAAATATAGTACGTCCATTTAAACCAAACTAGTTTTACCTTTTCTTAGATTGTACTATTTCGGAGATTTCTAGTTAGCACAATAACCCAAATACTTCCAGTTACCATACTGGCATCGCGATGGAGTAAAATATTGGACGGTTGGATAATGATTCAAGTGGGAATGGCTTTGAAGACTACATGGAGCGGTTCGAAATCTGGTGTGACTAGAAAAGATACTAAAGATGATCAGTTTACAGATTATTTCCAGAGGTTCATCAACAAAGAAGCATGTTACCTGTTAATGAATCTGGCCTTTCCAGAGAGACTAATGTTATTGTCACATTAACCTCTCAAGCAACTGCTACTTAGTCACATTCAATGTGCTAGCTTTTAATGAATAGAGGGATCGAAGCTTCATAAAATGATATTGCAAAATGATCCGAAAGTTAAAAACTTCATACTTGAGCCACAGAAACAGATCGTGAATTGCGATTTCGGAGACCGATCGGGAACTCGAATTCGTGATCGATTGATTTCTGGGATAAATATTCCGACTTTAGAAAAATAACTAATGCAGAAGCCCGAAAGTTCACTCCAAGAAGTTAGAAAAGAATGTATTAACTATGAGGCAGTAAATGAGCTCGGTTCCCAGTCAATGAAAATTTCCAATACTTTACTTGGTCATTGTGATGAGCTACACTTTAAGGGTCGCTCAAGCTCGCGTTAGTTTAATAATGATTCTCACTCGTGGAAATATTGAAGAATTGTAAAGCAGGTTACAGAAGTGAGCACACGTTTAGTAGGTGTTTATACTGCGCATTTATAAAGTGCCGTAGAACCATCAATACTGGGTTTGATAAATTTAAAATAGCTTGATGTGAGTGCCCTTACCAGCTTTTTTAGAAAATTCTGATGCCTGACCTAAATATTTGCTAGCTGAATGCTCCAGGTGCAGCAGATGGATGAAAACTTAGCCTGTTGAAATCCAAGCACAGGGTGATCAAGTCTTTCTTAAAAGATGAGCTGTAAGCAGTACCTATCCAGGACATCACTGCTGAAACAGTGGCCCGCACCTTCGTCGAACGATGGGTAGCAAACTTCGGTTGCCCTTCAACCATCACTACAGACCGCGGACGCCAATTTGAATCTGATCTTTTCCGTCGTCTGACCACTCTTTTAGGAAGCACTCGCTTCCGAACGACCGCCTACCATCCACAAGCAAACGGGTTGGTAGAACGTTTTCACCGACAACTGAAAGCTTCGCTATCAGCTGCAAACGTTTCACAGTGGACCGACGCTCTTCCACTCGTCTTACTAGGTATCCACAATGCAGTGAAAGCTGACATTGGATACACTGCGTCTCAACTCGTTTATGGAACGACACTTCGACTTCCAGGAGAATTCGTGGATCCTTCATCCTCTTCAATGAACATGGATCTAACCTCCTACACGAACAGGCTTGCAAACGCAATGCGTTCAGTTAAACCTGCTTCCACTGGACCTCAATCAACTGATGTTTTCGTTCAACCTGACTTACGATATAGTACACACGTTTTCGTTCGTCGAGACTCGCATCGACGACCATTCGAATCAGCATACGAAGGACCCTTCAAAGTTCTTCAACGTGAATCTAAGTACTATATAGTCGATAAGAACGGAACCAACGATAGCATTAGCATCGATCGCTTAAAAGCAGCGTATTTAGAAGGAAATCCTATCTACGTGGATTTTCCTTCGGTACAATCGAACGACACGACTCCGACACTTATAATACCTCATCCGACAACCAACCCACACGATGATACTTCGACAGTATCCGAAAATAAACTTAAAACGACGCGTTCTGGAAGAAGGGTGAGATTTCCAGAACATTTAAACGACTATTGCACGTAAGGCACTTCTCGACATTTTACATTATTTTTTTTTAAAAACAAAAAACAATTTTAATATGCTTATATATTTTTATTACTATTTAAAAAAAAACAAAACAAAAAAAACAATTTTTTTTATAACGCTATTACGTGTTCATGAGTTTATTTTCCATTTTTTTCCGCCGACTTTGTGCTTTTACGCACATACGAGTGTATTTTCGACATGCACTTACATTTTCTTTTTTCTTTTCCAGGACGGCTGGAAAAGAACGATGACGTTTTTGAGGATCCGAAATTTTCATTGTACATTTTCTTTTTTTACTATGTTATACCTCCGTCCCATATAGTAAGGAAAGACGACCAGACGCTGCTAAATTTAGTAAGCTATCAGAAGAGTGTTTACCAACGACAAACTCGTTGGGTTTAAACTTCTGGCTGGCCACGTCTTAGGGTCGTCACTGCCCCCTAGGGGGGGAGTGATCTGTAGCGGTAAATAAATCCCCAAAATAAATGGCACTAGGTTTTCGACATTGGATGCTGACCATATGTTTTAGTGGACTCATCTAGCTGAAGGCGCTCGGTCAGGCATCCTCACCAGATCACGTGTGGTAACGCCGTGCTCAACATCAACCGCAATCGCTAACCAGATTAGATCAGAGAATTCCGATATATTGGTCATCGCCAAATATACTCTTCCAATCTCCTCGACTCTGTCTTTTGATTTCTCTGGGCGGGAACGAAATATATTAGGTGTTACTGGTAGAAGCGTTGTCCAACACTGAATACCTGTGACATCATCAACATAACCGACATGTTGATCAAATACAACTTCATGAACCTTATGAGTGTTCCAAATACGATTGTTAATTCTAATACTAATGAATACATTCAAAGGCACACTAGACATCAAACATACATTCGAAAGACACACCATAGGCCCAAGGTGAGGAAGTACAATCGATCACAATAAGTTGGATTCACATTTAATCTGTAGTGGCTATATCTGTACGAACTAATGATTTCTTCGTACTTGATGGCCCGCTGTTTACGAATACGAAATATAACACGTCCATTTTTGCCTAACTAGTCCTACTTATTGTAAATTGCAGTATTTTGGGAATTCCTAGTTAGTACATAAATTCGAATAATTCTAATCAGTATATAAAAACAATTTTGTTAGAAACAAGTACTTACTGGTTATTAAAATCATATTTAAAACCTACTGAGATAGCAAAGTCAGAAGGCTGTGAAATTTTAATCGTATTTTATATACCACAACTCTAGAAGTGTAGAACTGGCTAGTCCAACTTAACAGGAAATTGAGCAAGATAACTCCTCCATAAAATAAGGAAGTAAAGGACTACAAATTGCAGTCATTATGTTTTTTTCCAAGAGCAGACCGTTAGTTGACTTTTAACCGCTTACCTTCGTCTTCTGTAGTTCTGCAAGAAAAACCACTTAAAAACTATTTTGAGACTCAGTTTCCCAGTGTAAACCAATGTTATTCCGAACTTTACAAGGGAAGTTCTTTGAGTTCACCGGTTCTCCAGAATCACGAATGGACGTGGTTTGCGCGTGCTTCAGACAGAAATCCCGTTTACGACATCAAGGGGTCTCAGCCAGAGCTTACACTACTCTCCACTTCTATAAACGGCAACTAGTTTTGCTGACTCTTACTTTACTTCTAACACTCTACAAGACCTTTTTATCTTAGCACTCCCAAAACCCAGAACATTCTTGCATCCAATCCTTTTTTCAAAAGGAATAGGAATCTATCAAAATATGTAGAGATGATTTAATGAGTCATGTCGCAGGAATAATGGACGAATCGTTTAAAAACCGTTTTCTCCACCTAGGATTACCTTACTAGGTTCCAAAATAATATGAGGAGACCTGAAAACGATTTGACGCGTACGAGACTTTTCTGGTACTCCAGTAAAACATCTTATTCGACCAAACCTTTGCATTTTAAGAGGTACCTCGCTATGAATTGTCTATCAAGGAATTAATGCCCAGGTGAGATCAAAAATTTTCGCAATACAGGTAAGCTCCGTTTTAAACACTTTTCCAGTTTACATGAATCGTAACCCTCTTCCCTTCGCTTCTTTGCATCTTATTTTTATAAATTTAAATACTGTTACCAGCCCGTTTGTTGTGTGGTAACGCTACAGCTGTTAGTTCCGACAACTTCATGACTGAAATTCATGATATATCAACCAAACATATTCATTATCTACACAACGACTACTGCTTTCTAGTGACTAAAATTCTATAACTGGATGTTACTGAAGGCCTGGAATGGTGCTTCAACGCCAGGGCAGAAACGAGAAGCAATCATCTGGTTTATACTAACGAGTTCTAAAGATAGTGGATATATTGGGTATTGGATGGGAGCCATTTTACATTGAGCGTCAGGCATAAGCGCTCAGAAGGATTCTGGTTGTACTGGCGGATGACTTAGAGGTAGGATTTTGTTTTCCTATTTATGTGAAGATTCTAGTAGATTGGTTTTTTGACGAAACTGTCGACGAATATTTCTCATCGTTGTGTTTAAACATTTGCTGTACAAACTATTTTTTAAAACGTATTTCCAAATTATTGCAGTGAGTTGCCTCTACAATTATTTATAATCACGCTGTATCCAAGTAATGTAATCGTTTACAAGTGCTTCGAAAGTAATTATTCTTTGAGTAAAAAAGTGAGGGATATTGACTATTTTTAAGAGGTGTGGTTTTCAAAAATCTAGGGAAATATCAAGTAATTGAATTTCGATTTCCATTTTTGGTAATTCCCCAAACGTTTTCTGATCTTGAAAAAAACCTGTCCACTTAAGCGCTATTCCGTTAATAACTCATTTACAGCTACGGCTTACTTAAGTCATGTGTTCAAGTGACGTTGTTTTTGCTTCCTGTAGATTACTATGATAGTAATTCCATAGTTATTTTTTACTTACTAGTTCTTAACATCTATTCTCAGTTCATTGATATCATTTCGTGTCAGTTTTTGTGCCTTTAACTCCCCGAATAGTTGTGCTAGCAATTCGTCATTCAGAGCACATTTTCCAGCGTAATTATTTTTTAGATCGATTCCCTGTGAGATAATCGGTAATTTAATCATATAACCTATCATACACTTCCGCCTGACCAGCTTATGATCGTTTAGTGTACTAATCTAAATGAGATACTGGGATAAGTCGTCTATAATTTTGATGAGCTAATATGGTGTGGATGTATTTACCAAATTAACAAATACACCTGACTCAATCTTTAGTAGCTTCATTTAGCCGTTCTTTTTTCCAGGAGGGTAACTAAGTTTGGCTATGCATATAAAGTTGCCATTGGTCTTACACCCATTGATATGAACTTGAAAAAACCGTTAACCTGTGTGACAGGATTTAAAGCAATTGCAATTACGCCTTTTAGTTATTTGTTTTTTCTAAGAATAGCGGTAATTTTATAGAAGACATAAAACAAACAAACTCTTAACGATAATATTCATTTTATGCCGGGAGGATGCACCACACAACAGAACTAGTTTTAAATTGTCATTTAGTCTTCAGCAATGAATTTGAATTTCTACAGGCCCCATTTTGCATTACTCAACCTCACGTGATTAAAACGCAACAATTAGACAAAACAGTGACTTCATAGGGTGATCCCATACTTTAGTTTGGCGATCCTTAGTCTTTGTGGTACTTGCATTATTCAGCCAATTCTCATTATTTTCATTACTCACCTAGGTGTCATGACTTGTTTTTGCAGGATGCTTCCTTAGTACATATTTCAATGCTCCTATCCCTACCTTAGCTTTTGATTGAAGCAGTAGTTTATTAGTCTAACCAAGCAACTTTCGACAACTCGCGTATAGATAAAGATCCCATTATATTTTTGTCTAGATAACCAATCATCGTCAGTAGAATGTCGCACAATAATCGTGACCAAACGTCGAGTACGAGAACGTCTATCAGATTATTAAGGTCGACTAGCCGAATTTCGTTACTTTAAGATCCTCGCGTTCCATTTGAAAGGCGCACATATATAATAGCCTTATTTGATAGAGATGCCGGTTTGAGCACCCGGGAAGTATCACATCCCACAGCAAATCAAGTGACTTGTGTGGCGCATATGTATTCGGTGCCCCTTTGTACCAATATTTCTGTTTAAATAAATAATAAAAGACAAAAATAAAATGTTGGGTTTATTTGTCGATTGTTAGATGCAGCGGTGCCCCAGAAGAGATATGGACTGACAACTAGCTCCACAATGTAGTTATGTATGCATAAATGACAAATGGTATTTCTAGATTCCCCTAATATGTCAGAATGCTGTTAAGAGACGAGTATTGTTCGTATTATTAGGCTCTCTGAAACTTAGCAGTTGTCAGACAATGTTTACTAAAAGTTGATAACATTTCTTAAGTCAGTGAAACCATGGACGTCGGCATGACTTGACTTTTAATCAGCTAACGATGTTGTGAGTTTGTTTAAGCTATGTGTCATGTATGAAAAGTCATTGGGTAGTTGAATATGTGATGTTCGAAAACTTGCGATGGTGATTTACTAAAACAATAACTTCAGTGCATAGGGTTGTCGATCTTTGATCCAAGATAGATAATAAGTTGTAAGTTTCCAAGTTGCTCTGTTTAATATACCTTGGATAAATAATGAGACTTTTGGCAATATTAGTTTGGAGGGGATATAAATAAATTAAACACTCATCCTATCTTCTGCAGGATGCTGTGTACTCCATCATTTTAGACTAAGTATTACTTCAACGGTGCTTATCTGTCAGCTGCCTAGTCATTATTTTGATTCGTCAAGTATGTCACTATTGTTTACTTTATCGTATAAATCGAGCATGACCATTAAAAATCAACTAAATAAAGTTTGTTATGTTTACTTACGAATATCTTTAAAGTCATTCGTCATATTTGATTTAACCGCGAGATGCAGAATAAATCCATTTGTGCCACTGCGCCAATAACATCGTTTGTCACTAGGTGTGGCAAAGATGGACATATATCCTGCGAAGCTTCTGTAATCAAACTCTATTACTCTAGTCCAAGGTTATAGGGAACTTTAATCGGAATTATCAACCTCATGTATTGTTCATCGGGCTTGCCCACCATTTCCTTTCTTATTCGATTCCGTCATAGATGTCTTCCTAAATGTCACAATTTCTTCATCTAACTTTTCAGGTGGTTGATATCGTACTATAGTACTCGCTTATCGACCTAGCACTATGGGGTGACACAGTTATGTTTATTGAAGACCTTGACGTAAATCGGAATCTTCTAGTGACCTTGAGTAGTAGTTCAAGGATGTTTTGATACGTTTTCTAAGTTCAAAATATTACTCTTCACTTGTTCTGTGCAAACGTTTAGCTAGTGGTATAGAATGATTCAGTCGGGTGCATGGACCACTTCACTTGTCTTGGAATTCTCACCACCGCTGGTAGGCTATTATCTGACAAAATCTCGATATGAACCTAGAAACCTCGGTTGGCTTTTGCTAACTTTCGTCACTTGCGGCATAGGTGATATATCTGTCTTCCAACCAAATGAGTATGCCAAGCAGCAGTTCATTAAGCATTACTCTATGGGTGTGAAACATAGTCTTTAGGAATAGAAGACATGTATAGGGTGCAGGCCTTTGGTCATATATATCTACAAGGTATTGTAGAACAACCGAGTAAGCAATGCTAAGATTAGACTTAAGGTATTGAGTAATATGTATTATGGGGTTTATAGTCCAATCGTATTCATTTACTATCTGAACCAAAAAGCTACACAATATCACTTTCAAAATTATATATATATATATATATATATATATATATATATATATATATATATATATATATATATATATATATATATATATATATAGTTAGGTTTTTTATATTCATGACATCACAAAAGGTGATCATATGATTAAAAAGTACAAGTCCCTATACTGATTCACCGAAAGTTGTTACGGTTAGTCATGAAGTTTTATATGATAGGCAAACCGAGTTGATAAGGTTATGTTGAAACCGTGTCAGCTGATATGCTTATGGGATGTTGCACGTTCTAAACCATGCACATTGAGCTCCAAGTGGTTTGGGAGTGGTTTTGCTGACTACTTTATACTCATATTTATCGAACTAATCCTTGTGAATCAATGAAGAATTACTGTATTTGTTATCGCTAATATATCAAAACTGTTTAATGATGTGTGTTTTCCGGTGTGCCATATGGTATCCGTTTTGATTTTCGGTGTTCTGTAAAATTTCATAGTTAATTCTCATTTACCGTAAAGAGCTCTAAAAGTTACTTGTCTCTAGTTTTCATTGGTTTTCCTAATGATGGTGATCAAAGCTCTCGATTGTCAAGCAGTGGATCTAAGGTTTGAACCTCGCGTCATCTAATTCGATTTGGCGATCCTTTAGTTCTACTTGTTCTCCAACAGAATCAATGTGGGTCAAAGTAGGTGGGGCGAGGTTTGAACCTGAATACCTTGATCGCAATCATTGCTCAAAGTTTTGTACATAAATTTATATTTGGTAAACAGAACACAAATTTTTATATTCTCTTTTGTGCTCGATGTTATTCTTGGCTTCTGTGGTGTTTTTCTCCCTTTAAAGTACAGCGTGAATACTGGATTTGACGTACGCTATATATTTCTTGTCACTTAGCTAGCTAGTATGTTACCGGCAGTTTTCTTCCCTACAGTTGTTGTTTTTGTCAATCTATAGATGATCCTGTCACATATTTTGTACATTTATTTATTTCAGTTACTTGATAATTGTAGGCAAAGTGTTTAACATTCAGTGTTTAGCCAGTACTTTGTATGTGTAAACGTAAATAAGTAAAGTAATTTAAAATATTTATGTTAATTAATAAGTTCTACTGATTCACTTCAAATATTTTTTAGTACAAAAATAATTAATTAAATATAATCGTCGATAAATTAAAACATTAGTGACTTGCTCTTTTTTTGATGAATGGATACCAGTTGATACACTTATATACACGTATATTATCGTTTTCTAGATTATAACAAATCATCATTATGTCAAATGTTGTTGTACGGACAAATGAATTTTCAACTATATGGCCTCTATTGTTAGATTATAATCAACGTGAATGTTTACAGATTTTACGACGTCTTGAATTAGAGGCCTATAGTAAAATTGTAGCAGTATTACGAGCACAAGGACCGTTAACAGAAGAAAAGAAAAAGCTATTGCATAAATTACAACGTCTGTTGAGTATTTCAATTGATCGGCATAAAGCTGAAGTTCGTAAAGCTTTAAATGATGAAGAGCTTGCAACTATATCAGAAGCGTACGTTTTATTACTGTCATTATTACTATTGTTATTATTATTATTATTCACTAAAGGAGCAGTAACTAAGTGGTTAAGGCATTTGACTTTCAGCCACCGGAATTCAGGATTGAATCCTGGTCCACCCAGTTCAGTGTGAGAAGCTGGGTAGTATCATCGGATGCTAAATATAAAGTTTGGCTCAAAGCCAAGAATACCAATCTTTACTTGGTTGGTGAGTTAATAAGAAAGTGGAGTGGTGGTTCAGTAGTTAAGGGATTCTACTTTCAGTTATTAAGTTGCAAGTTTGGACATCGCTCCATTTATTTCCGTTTGGATAACTGGTTTGTATTTTACATAGTCTTCATAATTGGGATGTGACTCAAAGCCAGTTAAACGAGTATGTGTATGATTGATGGGTTAGTAAAAGTAATAAACAAAATACTGAGCAGTAGTCTTTGTTTTTTCTTTTCTTTCAAGTGTATGCGGTAAAGAGGTTGATGAAGAATGGATCTTAGAGGGTAAACGTATTTCACCAATTTTTCAACGTCCAAGTCCTGAGACTATTTTTATATCACAAGCTAATAAAGCTTCTTTTGAACAGTTAATTCGTAATTCTCGATTACCATGTCCAGCGGAAACAGCAACATTTTCTGAAACTTTCATAAAACTAGCAAAATTGAATGATGAGAAAGTTGATGTTAAACAACAATCAGTTGAACAGGTAAGACAAAATAAATTTGGCTGCGGTCATCCGCAATGTTTTAAATGTTCAATAGATTTGGTATATTTAGAACCTTCAGTCATTTCTTAATTCATTCTATAGCTGAGTGCTTCACAGGGGGTTACATTTTAAATTGTAACATTCATTATTAGATTTGTTTTTTATTCGGGATAATGGACTGGATTACACTTACCTGTTTCTATTGGACAGTTGGAAATAACTATAAACGTTCGGGATGGAATTACGCTTCAATTACATATTCACGAAATGAATAGAAAACCGTTTAAAGTTTCTGGTAGTAACATACTTATTATGTATGAAAAACGTTGTAAATGTGACCTCAGCCACTTAGTTATTTTCAATCTCTAACCAACAATACTATTTTATATCTATGTATCCTCATTATCTTTAGGTTGAAAAGCAAATTGTGCTGGAGCTTTTTTCGAAGTATTTTCGTTTATTTCTGACTATGAGTTCAATAAAAAAGGATTTCTAGAGAAAAATATTAAAGGTTTTTTTGACTTCTATCTAACTAAGACTCCGTTAGTCCATGGAGTTTGTAACCTGTTGATCGAAGCCTTGTTGATGACTGTAGACTATTAGATTCGCTGGAATAATTCACTCGTGGTCATTCAAAGTCACAAAAACTGTCTTAGGTTCTCGAAATATGAATAAAATATAAATATTGTATATATATTAAATGTTTCTACAGTGAACAATAATTATCTTGTATTGAAAACTCTCACATTCAAATGGATTAATTTGGCTACAACAGTTATCGCCCTTCAAAAACATGTCCAAAAATGACCACTTATATATATCTGGAAAATAAAAAGTTTATCTACCGATAAGACAGCAGTTGGTTTACGATTAACCAGTGAGACATTGGAAAGAAATTGTACAATAAATAAACTAGTTACTCATGAGTAACACAATTGTCATCTATAAATCTCACACCATTTTTCATTTTTCATTTTAATTTAGAAATTTCCTCCAGTAGTAGTAACGAATGATAAAGTATGTGATATATCAATGAATAAATCGAAGACAGACATTCACACTGTTAATGACTCAATTCATCTTTCACAAAACAAAAATGAAAATAATATTAAACTAGATAATTTGAATAAATTAACAGAAAAATGTTCACCAGTGAAAACTCAAAATAATCCACTTGTTAAATCACTACTTGAACCCAAAACTAATTCTATTCAGTCACCATCGATAAAAGATAACAATTATGTTGTGGATAAAAGCTCCTTGGATGTTGTGTTACCACAAAAAATGGAGATTAGTTCATCACTTCAAATGGATAGTCAACAAGAAAACTCTACCCTATTCACTTCCTTTTCTTCTTCATCGTCAACTTCATACACTGAAGTTCTAAATGCAAAAAATCAAGTTTTATCCAATCAATTAACATTATTGCCGGTAGTTACACGTGAATCTTCATCTTCCGGAAGTAGTTGTTTATTGAAATCGGAAAATACTTCACTTGTCAATTGTATTAGTGATACTATATTGAATAAACCTAGTAAAGCTCATGAATCTGTTTCGTTGAATGAGATAAATATGTCAACTTCAGTTGATGCTCAATTTATGACACCCGCTACAACAGCAGCCAATGTTGTTACCTATGCGATTTCAGAACCTCGCACTGTTCAACCAGTTTTTAGTCAAATCAATCGAATTCCTATTACAACTACTATAACCAGTGGTAAAGTATTGAATTCATCTAATTATTCAGCTGTACATGGCGTGAATCTCTCATCATTGCCATCATCATCTTCAGCTCATACATCTCAACATTTGGTCGTACAAATGCATCGAAATCCTGACGATTTATTGGTTAGAATCTTAAAGTGTTCTTTTATCCTTGTTTTAATGTTGTGTATTTTGCTGTGACATTTTTTTCTATTAATTACCTAAACTAATTATTGAATGAGCGATCGGTCAATCACAACATAGAATCTAGTACATATGTACATCGATTCAGGTTGCCACACACTATTAGCACTGATGATATTTGCCAAATCCCAGAATAGTAGAGGTAGTAACAATATCAGTGACAGTAGAAAAGATTAATTATCGAAGATACGATTCAAGAAAATATAAACTAGTGAAATTAAGAAAACATTTAGAATTCGAAAGCCTAGAATCTGAGGAAAGATGAAGAGTGGATGCATATGTGCTATTGCAAAAGATTTTCGTCTATGTCATTCAAAGTCTCTAATCACTGGTTACGATAATCATGCGGACCCCAATCAGGTAGTCTAAACCTATTAACATGGCTTAGTCCAATTTTAAATGTTTCTGTAGCCTGGTCCCCTGTTTTGGTTTGACCGCCCCTAGCTTTCTCCCAGCATACTCCTACATTAAACAACATAACACCATAACACCTCACCTATATTTAAGTCTGTATACGTTTAATTTTGTTAGACCTTTTAATCAACTTATTTGACAGACAGTGTTATTAGAATAGTAGCAGTTTGTCTATATCTTTGTGTGATTATGTATTGCAACATACATACATAGTTCTCTTACTAGCCTAAATGTTAGTTGCTTAAATCGCCTGATGACTCACTAACCTTCCTATATATATGGGCTTTTTAAACCTTATTAACTCATTCGTTCGCTTGGATTCATTTGCACTAGGATTTCTGTTCGGATTTGCTTTGTGTGCTTGTGGCCCTATGATCTGCACTGTGCAATAACGTTTTGCATTGTCTTCTGAAAGTTATACACCGTTGAGAGTTATCTAATGGTGGTTATCAGGACGAGTGATATACACAGTATTAGGAATTATCCCAAAGATATCCCACTATAGTATGCCCAAACCACCTCAGTTGGTGAAAATTTACTACTCCATCACTTGATTTGCCGTTATTACTTAGTACCGTATTCCTAACCTCTGTGTTGCTTACTCAATGGTCCCAAAATATGCGAGCAGTGATTTAAAGACACCTATGATTAGACTCATGGTATTAGACAAAAATCGTAAATCTGTTGGCAAAATTGTGAATATTCATCTATTTAGATGACGGATGTGGATTGCATATGCCTAGCCACATCACCTAACTCGACCCGCCAGGTTTGCTGGTGTAGGATTAGTTTTTATGAAAAATAATCCCTGGGAGGGGAGGAGTCGCAGGTTAAAACATGGCACCTGTTCGTGAATTCATTTGCTATTGATATGAGTCATGCTATTAGACGCAGATTACCTGGTTGAGGTCTACGATGTTATTGTAACCAATGGTTGAGAGTATTGGACATATAGCTTAAATCGGTCCCAATGGCACAGATGCATTTACTTTTTGTCTCCCCTTAGATGCTGAGTTTTTAGGTCATTCCGTATTTTCTCTTTCACCAATTAATTATTTCTCGGATTTATCCATAATTCTTTTTATAATCACTGATACTACTTGTTAGCCGGACATAGACTGGATTAAAGCATGATCAATGTACGATTGCTTTGATGCACGCTGATTGGATAAGAATTAGCCAATCAGCGTTAGTCAATACTTAGTGAACACTAGAAATCTTATGTGAAAAACTACAAATATACTAACGTTTTCCCTATTGTGCTTCTTAGTTCCACTTAACCTTGTTATTTGGAATATAATCTCTTTTCCTATTCAATCGTGTTCTGATTTGGGGGACTTGTCGAGTGAATCGGTGTCCAAGACTACTAAGCAATAGGAATAGCTGAGTTGTAATAAAGAGAGGGGATTATAACACTACTACTTTGGTATTGATCTCACTGTGGTAGTATGTGGTGTATAACTTGAAGCGATCCACATATGTCATCTCGAGTTAGATAGGAGACAGTAGATCATTGCTGTTAAAACAATCGACTTACAGTTTACATATCACAAGTTTTGAACTCCACTCTATCCACTCCAGACAACTAAGTACAATCATTAACTACTACACAAATAATGTGCTAAGGTCATATAAATATTTATTTAATAAAATGGGTCATCTTACTATTTGTTACTAATTTGGCACGAAAAAAATTCCGGAATTCTAATTGTCAAACTTAAAAGAAGAACATAAATTTTGAGCATTTCCATAACATACTATTGATATAATCGACTTTAAACTGTTAATTTTAACCAATAGGAAGTGATTTAGTCGCTTGTTAGTAGTGCACTTATCATTTTAAAATATGAATGGGCGATAAACATTTTTTATTAACACATTTATTTCTATAAAATTTCATCACACTTTCTTATTATTTATGAGAAAATATGTCACTGTTTTAAATTGTCGATAGGATTTTTTTCATCAAGATTATTTACTGGCTTCAAGTGGTATATCCCGGAGTTCTAGTGAGAAGCAGTGATCAGTGGAGTTCAGCCGGGTTTGTTACGAGATAGTAACTCACTGGTGACAATAGTGAATGTGTCGCTCAATTTCGTGGATTAGTTGAAGTTGGACATTAACACCGTCGGATGCTAGTTCAATGATCTAGTGGTCAGGCGCTCGCGCGCGCGACCGATAGGTCGTGGGTTCGAATATTGCGTGGCAACGTCGTGGATGCGCACTGCCGTCCAGTGCTTCCAGGTTTTCCATGATGGTCTAGCTTCAATTGACTCATGATCTCAACTATTGAAATTACTGTAATATCTACAAAACCCTTCTGATATTTACTGTTTAACTCATAAGTTAACTGGATTAATTCTACTTATCATGAATAATAGTTAGAATTTATTGTTTCATTTTGTAACAGTTTAACACAAATGATAGTCTCCTGATCAAATTTCTAGGGCACCATTTTTTATAATGTACATTTATTGCTAGTAATTTTCTCATTCTCAATATGGTTTATCTGACTAGTTATGTCTGTCAATCGTGTATACTTCATAAAATAATTACAAATCATCTCGACTTTGATTATTACGAAACACAAAAATTATCACCACGTTGGTTCGTATACTTTTCTTTTTCCATTATCTTTTAGTGAAACCAGACACGATTACAATAAAACACATACACTAGATATTATTCGACTATGAAAAGAGATGTTATGGGAACAAAACTGATTATGAATAGATGAATATAAATGGCAGCTAATCACTTTAAAAATATTTTACAAATAGTTTTTAGTATCTTCGTAATTTAAATGATTATAAAACAGGAATTTTGTTGCAACTTTGCATATTTTGTGCTGAAAATTCTTTACTGTAGTCAAACATATAATAGTGAAGAAACCGAATATTATTGTTATAATTTCATTGGCATCACGAACCTATCTAAGTTAGACAACCATTAAAAACCTGGAAGCACTGGACGGCCGTTTCGTCTTAGTGTGAGAATTCCCAGCGATGCCTCCCCACTATCACGTAACGAGGGATCGAACCCAGGACCTTCAGTCTCGTGGAGTTCAACAGCTTCAATTACTTAGTTACCCCACCGAAGATAGTAGAAGATGGTCGGTCCGTATTGCGATTTGATTGAAGTCAGTCTTATGCACCATTGGATTCTGGCTCACTGGTTTATAGGTTAGACGTTCTCACACAAAACCGACCATCCTAGGTTTGATTCCTCGTTGCGAGGTCGTGAGTGCACTTTACTGAGGAATCTCATACTAGGACTAAACGGCTGTCCAGTGCCTTCAGGTTCTCGATGGTTGTCTAACTTGGATCGGTTCATGATCTCGATAAAAGTCGACAATTTTCACAAACCTATACTGATAATAGCTACTGTTATTATTAATACTATGTAGTGGTAATGTGTTCATTGTTTATTTATTCAATACCTATACAGGATTCTAGCCAACAAGTATTAACAACTACTCAACGCTGTTCTCTAATCAATCCTACCAATTCAGTTTATGTTTGTGAGCATTCAACACCTACAGCGACACGTTTATGTTCCACTTCTTCTCCTAGTCATATTAATAATTTTGCAACTAATAGTAATAAACTATATCAGCCTATCAGCAGATCGAATTTAGATAATATAATCGGAGTAAAACGCCACCACCACCAACAACAACCTCATACATTGTCATCTGTAACTCCTAGTGTTCTAAGCATTCAAAGCCTTCATAATAGTAGTAAGTTTTAAGTAAATTGATTGTTTGTTTTCATTTTTTTCTCGTGTAGAAAGTCACTTTACCGGTATATAATTATAATAATAGTAATAATTGATGGTAAAATATTTCTTTATTTAACAATGCTTTTGATTAGAGTATGAATAACTATGATAACAGCAACAGTAAGTTTTGCAAAGCGGAAAATAATGCGTTCACCTTTCTACTTCAAAGCTTTTCATGTGATATAAACAGAAGACAGTGGTATAAGGGGTTAGTGGATATAATTGAATTGTAAGGGAATGGTTGCAGGTAGTCGACAGAAATGTCTAGGCATAGGTTTCGCGCTAGTCCGGGATTGGTCAACAAGGTGTACCCGCAATCTTAGGGGAACTAACGCTCACTAGCGAACTAGGTCCATTGTGACCCAGCCGTTGATCAAATGTAATAGTTGTGATGGCTATTTTCAATGATGTTGTTTAATAAACCTTAAACCTTAGGGTAATAAATTCTGAAATACTAGGTGATTTTCTCCATAGTTTGACATGTTGCCTCTTCTTGTTTGTTTTATTCTCTCTTCCAAGCTACACCATCTCAACGTTTTCGTGCTCCACAATCACAACCACCAGTTGTTTCTACAAATGAAACTCCGAAACAGTTATCATCTATTACACAAATTCAAAATCCTAAAATTTTAAAAGCTACCATACCTGTTTGTAGTAACGTCTTGGGATCAACAACGTATGCATCAAATATGTTTTGTAGTTCAGTGATAAATATTACAACAGATAATTTGCCGATTAATAATAATACTGATCAATTAAATCGTACTTCATTACCTCAACAAAATACATTGATCCCATCTAGTTCAGTTGTACAATTTCCATCGTCAATTTCCGGGAACAATGTAATTGTGTTGCATAAAGGTAGATTGTTTTTTTCTTGTCAATGATTTTTGTTTTTCATGAATAAAATCTTTTTTATTTTATCAAAAGTTTTTCTTTTGTTTCAGTAAAATATGATCAACTAATCTCTATTTCTTTTCAAATTGATAGATGAAACATATTTCTCGTGTTAATGAATTTTTGTAAAAATTTTTATGGGAATTTTCTCCTGTATAAAATGAATCATTGTTTGCTTGCTTACTTACTTACGCCTGTCACTCTCAACGGAGCATAGGCCGTTGACCAGCATTCTCCATCCCACTCTGTCCTGGGTCTTCCTTTCTAGTTCGATCCAACTGTTGTTCATTCTTCTCATGTCTATCTCCATTTCTCGGCATAATTTATTCTTTGGTCTTCCTCTCCTCCTTTGGCCTTGAGGATCCCATGTGAGGGTTTGCCTTGTGACACTGTTGGGTGCTTTCCTCAATGTGTGTCCTATCCACCTCCAGCGATTCTACCTGATTTCTTCCTCCGTTAGGATCTGGTTTGTTCTCCCACAATAGATTGTTGCTGATAGTCTCTGGCCAACGGATCCGAAGTATTTTGCGTAGACAACTGTTAATAAACACCTGTATTTTCTGGATGATGGCTTTCGTAGTTCTCCAGGTTTCTGCTCCATACAGTAGAACTGTCTTGACATTTGTATTGAAAATTCTGACCTTGGTGTTGGTTGAGAGTCTTTTTTAGTTCCAGATGTTCTTCGGTTGTGAATATGATGCTCTTGTTTTGCCGATCCGTGCCTTCACATTTGCATCAGATCCACCGTGTTCATCAATGATACTGCCCAGATATGTAGAGGTTTTTACATCTTCCAAATCTTCTCCGTCAATTGTGATTGGATTGGTGCATGCTGTGTTGTATAGGAGAATCTTGCTTTTCCCTTTGTGTATATTGAGTACCTACTACTGTTGAGACTGCTGCTACTCTGATCGTCTTCTCCTGCATTTGTTTTTGCGTTTGGGATAGAAGAGCCAGATCACTTGTGAAGTCTAGATCGTCCAACTGTATCCTAGATGTCTACTGTATCCCATGCTTCTCCCCAGATGTTGACGTCTTCATGATCCAGTCGATCACCAGGAGAAAGAGAAAGGGTGAATCATTGTTTGTTTGTAGTAGTGTTATTCAAATATACAGTTGGAACAGTGTTCGGTAAAATGTATTATCTTAAATATAACTGGAAAACTTTTTAACTAATATTCAGGAACTGCTTCGTAGTTACTCTAGATTGAATAAGAGTAGATTGGTAAAGCGTTAAAAACATCTATTCATATAATTCATTGAATGTTTAACTGAACATTATCCAAATGTACAATTGTTTTGATTGATGTCTGAAAGATAATAACCTTAATGTACATTAGTCACTGAGCAGCGACCAATGTTACCTTTATCTTATCCTTTAGTGCTGATTGGATTTCATCAATTGAGTTGTAATATGGTCACTAGTTTAATTGGTTTGACATCACGTTCACCATATTGGATTTTTAAGTGATTGAAGATAACTGGCGGAAAACTGCAAATCTGGGTCTTTTTCCAGTTAGGACTCGTTCTCAAGGGATAGCTGTAATCTTCAAGGGATTTATTTAATTCTTACTATTGGATTCGAACTTGGTTCACCCAGCTTCACAGTCCAAAACATTACTGCTAAGTTATCCGGGCCGCTCACGAGTGTCATTTAGCATGAAACCGTGATCCAGGGTATTCTACCAACTACCCACAACTACCTGATATCTTAGTTTTGATATTTCGGTGTCGTTGGGTTTTATTGACGTGCCTTTTGCTTTTCGTTAAAATTTCATCATCGACCAATCGTTTTCGACATATTCTATTTAGGTATTGCGCGTAAAACATTCACACCTACTCCATCTATACGAATTGGATCAACTGTGCCGGTCAATAACAATACACAAGCAATTGTATCTGGTGGTTATTCAAACGCTTCCATTGCATTCCCGAGTCGTCAGTTTCGAATTATTGGTTTATCGAATACACCTGTATGCTCTAATTCTAGTACCGTTGAAACTTCAATTTATAATCAGGAACCTAGTCAAGTAATTTGCAATATCAATGAATTAGTAGTATGTTCATGAACTTGTAATTTTATGCTTCATTTTTCAAAAAGGGTTTTTTTAATATCGTTAATTCATTATCTCGTTGTTGGAGACAGGGCATCGCAGCGTTTGCCTTGTGTGTATGCACTTGTACAATGGTTTATAAACCCATATAGCATAATTAGTAATGTGCATGATTTGTAGCATAAATACCTGGATTGAACCATTTAATTTGTTTAGTTATGGATATGTAGACACATAGAGTCTGTATAACCTTGATAGCCAGTTTTTACTAACGTATTAATTTATGATAGATTGTTATTGCATCACGACAATGTATCTACACACTATACTATGATTATCTGTGAATTTCCGACTCATAATTTTGTCATCATGATAGATCACTTTCAATAACCTAATAGACTTCACTCTCTAGGGATTTCTTTTGGTTTCCAAAATGCAAAATGGTTATGCAATAGCGACGGCTCTAGAACGATATTGAAACAACTAAGAGTGAAAAGATTTAAATACAGATAATGAGCCTAATGTTTGAGGATTTCCAGAAATGTTTTGAACTATGAAATCAGGTTGATGGACCCTGATTATTTTAAAATAAAGTTTTTCGTGAACACTGTTTCCGTATTTATTAGACAGATTCTTACCTTAAGAAATACAGACCACTTTCATGGTTATTTATCAACCCACCAAAAAGCATAGATGAGGATTGGCTGCTGTTGCGTAGTGCCATGAAAATGGAAAGTAAAGTCGCTTGCGGCTTCGCGGGATGTCCCGCTTATAAGCACTAGGTTTTAAAGGCTTCCTGCAACTCGTTGAAGCACGTTGGTCCACTCTGAGTTGACAAAGACTGTTTCGTAATGAAATCATGCAAAGCTTGCGTAAGAACTGAAAAGCTTGGTGGTTGGAAGCAGCAGTTGCATCTGGTAACTGCCGGAAGTCCTTTCAATCCATCCGAGTCACTTGCAGCGCGAACTCTGGTGTATGTGAAATCCGTTAAGCTGATGAGATGCTAACCAATAACACCTACCGACATCTTGGACGATGGATAGAGTTCATCGAGTAACAATTCCAGTCGTATACTGCCCCGGTGAAATCAATCAGACTCATCAGTGTCTAGTGATGACTAGTCCACCTAACGGGATGAAACTCTTCAAGAAATTCCAACTCTCGAAGCTCCATAGATCTTGACACCCAAATAACTTACCTCCAGGTCGCTTTAAGGATGGTGGCGACTTTCTGGTCAAGGAATTGACTGAGTGCAAAGTTCTTCTACAAGACTGGCAGGACCCTGATCCTGTACTCACCCTGGGTAGTGAGCAGGTAGAAGTAGTCGAGAAGATCGTGTATCTAGGTAGCTGCCTAAGTGATGGTGGTGGCGTGAGTGACGACATCAGTTCACGTATAGTGAAAGCCAGAGTGGCTTGTGCCAATCTGGGCCATCCTTGATACCCTTGTGATGTCAGTCTGACTGTAAAAGGTCAGGTCTACAACGCAGTTTTGTTCCGTGCTTGTAAAACCTGGCCTCTCCGAGTTGTGGATGTTGGAGGACTCTATGCGTTTGATCATCGTTGTCTCCGAAGGATTGTTGACATCTAGTGGCAACACCATGTTAGCAATGAAGAATGTTCAGCATAATGTGTTCGAACACAGCGACAACGATTCAACTGGTGTCACTATCTTGAAACATCGACGTTGGTGGCTTGAACCTGTTTTACGAATGTTGTCCCAGAGAATTCCACATCGTTCATTGTTTGCCGACGATGGGACTGGTTGGGAACAGCGGAGAGGCGGTCAGTGTATGAGATGATGTCGTGGCACGAAAGAAAGACATTTGTTGGTCCGTGGTGGGAAATTTAGAGATGGTGCAACACAGTGACTTGAGACGTTATCAAACATGGTTCAGAATAGAAGCCAGTGACGATGCTGCTGTAATTTTCTTTTATTTTCTTGAAACAGTGGGATTCTTTCTGGTCGTATTTTTCTAACTGCATTGCTTCTCTCATCGTTAATACTATTATTAATTCATTCTCATACATTAATTTATATCCGTTGTTGTTCTTTTGAATTATACTCACCCTATATTCTCTATATGCTCACAACCTTGTTTCTATTGTGGGTGAATATATATTGTGGCGCTCACTTGTACCAATGTTTATTCGTTTAAATAAAAATAATAAAATAGTATTAATAATAATAATAATATTAATAATAATAATAATAATTTATTTATTTATTTATTTGAACACATGGATATTGGTACAAAGGGGAACCGAATACATATACGCCACAAAAATCACTTGATTTATGTGTGGGCTATGTTATTGCCCAGGTGTCCAGACCGAAACAGATGGTTTTCTTAGGGGCCATACCCGGAGCCTTCGACCTAAAGGCTTGATCTACAAGGCAGTGGAGCAACGTTAGGAGATGCAGTCCTATGGTAGTCGGTGACCAACGATTGGCTCATACGCCGTTTTTTCCTTCAGGATCCCAGAGCCCTTGTGCACCATTGGCTCGGAATTAGGGTCTTCCAACTCCCCTAAGTGGACCTTTCGTGTCTAAGTAACCGGTCAAAGAGGCGGACATTCGCTTTTCGTCCTCTCAATTTCGTAAACAACACCCTCGCCACTCACAACCAGAGAACAATCGATAGCTATTTCATCTTAGTATGTAGCTCTTCAGTGGTAAGTAACCGTGCCCCATCTCTGGCATTGCAACCCAGTACGTTCAGATTTCGCAGGGAACACGCTACTTTTAGATCAATGGGTTACCAGTTGTTGTAGTGATGGGTCGGTGTTTAAGACGTTTAGCCATTAGCTACTAAGTAACAGGTTCTAACTCCACCTTACTTGGTTTGTTTTGGGAAACCGAGTAGTCATATTATTTGCCCTTCGACATATTGTTACTATCTGATCAGAGTACATAAAACCATCCCTGATGAATAAGTTAATTTATCCGTTGACCCACATTTCCAACTTTACTTAATTGGAGTTGTTTCGTCTCCTTGCATACATAGTTGAACTATATGGGATATTCACAATAAAGGTATATATTTTGAAGTTACACTGACATCATTCTCTGTTGATTATAGCCTTTAAAATATTTTGTTATCCTATATAATGTTTATCTTTTCTTTTTTAATCTCATCGCTAGTCTATTCAAAATACTCCCACGATGATGACGACAACAAATGCTATTTCTAAATCGTCATCTAGTCATTTACTTCATCATAGTTCACGTTTAGGATCAATTCTAGAAGTTGATCTTGACTCGGATAATTATAGTGATCAAACCAATTATTATTCTGATTATCATAACGCTACTATACATAGCAATAAACCGACTTCTCATTGTTCTACTATTGTTACAATTCCACAAACGTCTTTATCAATAGACGTATCGAAATTAACACCTATTCATCATAACAAACCAACTGTTTTAACCGATGAATTGTCTGTTGTCAATTTACTTCGTACTACAACTAGTACTACTAATAGTAATAATGATTTACACAATACTTCATCTGGGTTATATACTATAATCAATGAACAGTCGTTAAATAATAATCAATTGCCGATATATTCTGAGGTAAATCTCTTTTCTGCTTTTTGTTGCTTCACTTTTCTCCAGAGTTCTTGTGCTCAGATAATTTTCTTAAATTTTACTCATTATCAATAATAATCAAAATGGTGATGAATATACTATTAACAAGTACATGTTTTTTAATGTTTTGATCAACATAGACGGTGAATGGTTTTTCTGAAATTCCAGCATATTACACATTATTTACTGTTACATTTGATTTATTTGGAAACAGCTGTTTTCTTCAATGTTTTGTCTCCATTAAACAATAACACTTGTTTAACGGATTTCCGTGGAGTTCTTATGTTGTCACATAAGATTTTTATCTATAGTGTAATCCATGTATTTATTAGCTGATGAAAGTAAGCTTTAAAATCGTGAAATTCAAAAGAACACAGAATTATCTTGGTTTCCTCTAACCATAGTTATTTATTTATGTTTGACGTTAGTAAATGGATTGTCTTATATTCTCTCATATTTTCAACAAAGTATATTCATATACAGAAGTTTATTTTTTTCATTTCTAGTTGTAATTAAGATCATGATTAAAGTATATATTCTTTAAGTTTGCAAAATGGGTACTTTTCATTCATTCAGCCCTTTCTTCACTCATTAATCAAAGATCATTCTAATAGCAACTAGCTTTTGAATTTAAAACGCTTCATTTTTATCTTAATATGCTTTGTTCTAATGTTTTCTGAATTTCGGTAGATTTTCTCGAAAGAATTTATACTGAGAGATATTTGCGTTTATTTATATCTCTATTCAAAATTACACCTTTAAGCATGGATTCTTATATTAACGAATAAACTCGTTAGAATAGTTCCTCCGTAAACTAATGGATTGATGAATATTGTCGTTCTAAGTAGACTATTTATCAATTCACCAACCTATTACTTGTACAGCCTATTCGATGAATGATTTTTAGATTATGGAAATAAGTTTGAAAATCCTTATATGGCATATAATGAGCGTTTTAGATCATACATTTAATTTTAGAAACCAGTCTCATAGTCGTTGTTTCAGGCAATTTTTACGATTATATATATACTACTTATACTCTGTAAGTAATTAATGTCATGCCGTAGAGCTTCGGCTTTATACATTACAATGAGATCAAATTTATTATTTTTAAAAAAATAGTCTGAGGAAAACAGCATGTATTTTGATGAGACAGGATTTGTAGTCCCTGTGATATCTTGTGTTATTTTAGATCATTTTTGTAATGGTAAACTGAGTTAGTAGAGACCCTGAATGACATGGCTCAAAATCGTTTGCAATGGCGCAGGTGCATCCACTCTCTGTGTTCTCCCAAATTCTAATCTTCTGAATTCTTCATGTCCCTTTTTTCCTCCTTCCAAATTTATTTCAGTGTATTATACTCTTTAAATAACATCTCCAAACCCTAATCTTCCCGATTACTGCTTATACTCTTGCTACCTTTACCACTACTGGATTTGAATCGACCACTGCATCTCTGTGCTAATGTGGTGTGGCAACTCGAACTGATGTACGTACGTACGAAGTTCTACGTTGTTACTGACTGACTGACTGAAACTGAGTTAGTTCCTGATTTTTGATCAGCTGCTTCTATTACCTCTATGGATAGTAGCCGTCAACATAAAGACATTCTACTAGCTTCCAATAGATGGATAAACTACCTATAACAATGTAACATTCTGAGACATCTGGAGGATTGTCACCGGGAAAGTGTCTAATTTACGGGTGTATGGGAACTGATTTTGATGTCTTAATAACCTGTGCTGAGAATTCTATATTGTACCAAAACTATAATATTGAATAAAGCCATTAATAATAATAATAATAATAATAATAATAATAATAATAATAATAATAATAATAATAATAATCCCAAAAAGGCGCATCAGTTCTTATTTGTTCCAATTACTTGGACCAAAATATGTAAGGGATTATCGTCCTCAGTGTCTACCTGAGATAATCATTAGAAGAGGGTTGTTGTTGGTGATATGCAAAGCATATGTTGGAAGACACATATGGATTAGATATAAAATCCAACTGCTTGTTCAATGCATCGACGAGAATGCTTGCTATATACAATGACCCGTGGACACACTTCTCTATATTTTGGAAATAAAGATAAAGATTCCAACGACCCAACATGAAATCATGTCCGTGTGGGGTCCATAAAAGCGTATGTTACTCAGTCTAACAAAACTCACGTATGATTAGCTTCAAGAAAGAAGATATTTGAGAATATATCATTTCTCAAAAATTCAACCCTAATCAGTCAGAATGTGGATTTAAAAAATATCCAGTTTCTGAGTTTTTGAACTTCAGTTTTGCAATTTAATTCAACTCGGTTAAACTTGCATTCTGAATGACTGTTTCTTAAAAGCATCCTAAAAATTCCATGCAAACTCACGCGTTTTCCAATATTTCTTTGGTTGGTTGGAGTTTTCAGCAGAAAATCTGTTTATTTTGTCTTCTCGATAGTTGACAATTGGGTCAATAGTCGTTTTGGGGAAAGTCTAGTCGAAGTTCAGTTGGAGGATTATTCTACCTCACGTTCACTATTACTTTGTTCTTTTAAATTATTATCTTAAACGAAGTCATAACAGCAACTCGAATTTCTCTTTTAATAAGTTAATTTGATAACTGACACAAGAATAGACTATCCAAAATAATGTATATGGTAGATGATTCTAAATATGTATGACATAAGAGTTTATTTCCTAACCAGTGATGTCGTATGGTCGACTGCAGTTAAAGTTATAGGTAGACTACCAAAGATTGTGATACAAGTTGTCTATGAGATCAAATGTTATGAATGCAATGCAGTGTACATGTAAGAAACATCCAAACGGCTAAATTTAATGTTAAGTAAGCAATAATAATGTTTGAAACATGCTCTAAAATCCTCGGTTGATCTTAACAAACCTGAGAATGAATCTATTATAACTCTACATACGTTTGAAACAGCACGCAAGGGTCCAAAATACTTCAGAAAAGATTTGACGTGCACAAAAAACGATTAAGATCATTAGCGTTGTGTATTTGGGCCAATCAAAATAACTTAGATAGAGAAGATTAAATTCAACTAGCCACACCTTAGGAACAATTCATTAACAATCAATATGAACCTTATCTCTATCCACCTCGTTTATGTTACATGTAATTTTATTTCGACAGGAACTAATCTCTTAACAACACAACTAGAAACTTTTCATGTTTTAAAACACTTTTCAATTTGTAACTATTAGTTTTTATTTTTATTATTTTTAATTAAACAAAATTATTAACTTATCTTTGTTATAAGAAACAATAACCATATTTATTTATTCAGTAAATTTTAATTGTTCATAACATAAAGATACAATTACACATAGATCTATAGTTTTTACATCTTGTGAATTATTCACAATATTCAACATTCTACTATGTCTCCCTTTCTTTTCCATATATATTTTCGTATTTTCCTAAAACTAATGACTGAATAAATGTTGACAAGTTTAGATTTATTCTTTAAACATTGATCTAAATTTCGTTTTTGGTGTATTATTTTTCCTGAAGAAGTTCAAACAAGAGATATTGTGGTGTGTGCTATTGATGTTGATAGATATAAGTAGTATATAACACTAGTCGAATGTGGAATGCCTGAGGGCAGAAAATTAAGAAGATGGAAGTAAGGAGAATAAGAACAGGGAATGATTGATGTGGAAACGAAGGAACAATCAAGTTTGAGACAATTGATTGATATTTTGCAAATGAAGTATTTACTGTATGGTTCTCAGATTTTACTAAGACATTCTGTAATTTTGTATTCAAATACATTTGATTGTCCCCGCCTATGTTCTCGTTCACTAAAATATTACTGAATAAAACGTTTAGATCATTTAGATTTATTTCAATTAAAACATTTTACATGAATGATGTCTTTTTTTGTACTTGGTGACTAATTTCTGGCAAACTATTTATCTAGATATTGATGAATATGCATCTAAGTGATAGTTTATCGTCTGTGAAGAAATACAAGTTTGTAACTTGAGTTTGTCGTTTTTTCATTCATCGTCCCAATTCTATTGATTTACGGGTTGATTATATAATCATCTCCTTATTTTATTTTTATTTATTTCATGTCATCATTATTTTTATTTTTATTGTGGTCTTTGTTCTAGGGTGGTAATGTTATATGTCAACGAGAACAATTGAAACCAGTGGGAGCAGCTGCCATGTCCACCGCTACAATTGATTCATCACAGAAGTGTATTGAATTAACCTCTTGGAATAATAATACCATTGGTAGCAGCAGTTGTCTTAGTGCTACTACTACTAGTAGTAGTAGTGGTAGTGGTAAAATGATTGGTCGTCTCCAGGGTAATCCTACTGCTTCGAATGTTGTACTGTTCAATAACCCACCAAATGCTAAACGTCCACGTTTTGAATTATCATCATCAGCATCATCCACAGCATCAATCGAAAGTTCACATTGATAAATACATTGTTAATTTTGGATAATATGTCATCATCATTTACCCTGGGACCAATCATAATTTATACAGATTGCATTCTCTTTAACTTTTAACCTACCTTTCTGAAATATTTTCTTTAGAGTTTGATTGTATATTGCTGAATAATCTTCCTTTGATTTCCTCCATATCTTTTCATATATATATATATATATATATATATATATATATATATATATATATATATATATATATATATATATATATATATATATATATATACGTCCAGAGACAATCAGAGCTTAATTGGATGGATAACCAGCTCCATGTACTTATGTGTTTAAGATATACAACTTATACTATCAGCTTCTGATTTTTATGCGTATATGTTTGTATATACATATGTCTGAGTGTTTGCTCACACTTTTACCAAACAGTCAGTTACTTCCTTACTATTTAATCATTATTATTGTTTTCTGATAGAAAGTACATCTATAGTTTATATGCTCCATTATTATACAGAAATTATCCTTGCTCTACTCATCTCTCTTCAATATATATCTATATAATACTGTCGTGTATTATACATAATGAAATATTTACTAATGTTCGTATTGTATGCACACTTTTTGTCTGTTTGTTCTGATGATGATGTAATTGTTTGTTTATTTAATTTCTACTTTAACATGAATATACATTTTCTTTTTTCATCTTTATCAACTGGTAATTCTACATATACTGATATTGAACCAACAGTGTTTTCTTCCCTCCTCATAGTAGTTGTTAGTTTTCGATTATTTTCTTCATCCTCATAACTTCTCTAATTTTCTTCGTTTCTTTTTTTTTTGTTGTTGCTGAAAATAACATATTATTCTACAGACACTTAAACGTTTACGATAAAATCTGTTATTCTGTAAAATTTATTCATTTCATATACACCATACTTTATTGCTTCAGTTCACTTTGTGTATTCTGTGTACATAAGCCTCTTTCGAATTCATCTATTTCGTCAATGAATTATTTCATTTATTAATATTATTATTCTCATACTGTAAAATTCATCACCTAGATATATTCTTATATATATATATACCTACTGTTGTTTCACCATGAACGATATTTATGTTTTTCCACTGTTCACCAGTTAATTCCTCATTATATTTTGTTTTGCTTTTATACATGTTGTAAATGAAATGTATGTGTACGTGTTTGTAGGTGTATAATCGAGAAATGAATAGTATCTTGCAGTGTTACTAGTAGTAGATTTCGCCTATTCCAATTATTATTGTTATTATACTGTTTTTTTTTAAAATTTGGTAATACCTACTGAAATAATTCTATATTTTAAGGGTGTTGGTGTATTGTTTAACAAAGATGAAATAGAAAACCTACTTTTTACACTAGTTATTATCATAATTTGAGAATATTATGATTTCGTTCGAGGACTTTTTTGCCCCCCTTTATCTATTCTATGAATACTATGTAGTCACATTTCTATTATTGGTTCCCACACGAACTTATGTATGTATAAAGTAAACTGTTTTGGAATCTTTATCAAAGGAAATGTGTTTTTGTTTCACTATAATCACAGGTTTAATTTATTTGTGTATACGTTTTCTTCCTCTTCTCCGTATCGCTTGCATCCCTGTGTCTTACACACACACACACACATCCACACTATCGCTCATCAATGACGCGGTGCTGACTCATGTTTCTCATGTGATGAATACTCCAATATATATGGATTGTAGTTGAAAAGAACTTGTTGGTATCAGTCAGAAAAATACTTATCCGAGAACATATATCATTGATAACATATCGATGTGTTTTGTTTTACATATTACAAGTTTATAAGTTACATTTTTGTACTGTTTGTCAGTTCGTCTGTCTGTATGTATGTATTCGAAATTGCATGTTATCATCTCACTGTAAATACATATTTTTTGTTGCCTTTTTATATATAAATAACAAATAAAGTCTATATATTTCTTTTGGTAAAAAATTATTGTTCTTAATTAGTAATCCTGTGTATATGATGAAAGTATATGTGTGTAGTATATGTTTGCATGTGTATAAATATTCTCATATATATACGTTGTATAGTTGTTCAGAGGAATAGGCTTTCCTTTGCAGTTGTTACAAGTTACATCGGTTTAAGTGTTCACCCTGGAGATATTCATATTAGACAATTATAGGTAACTCCAACCTCTTGATATGAGATCAATAATAAAAGGTGCAGCGTTTGCCTACTAAATGAACGGAAAATTAACCGAAGTTGTTGGGTACGACATATTTAGTGAACATTAAAGACCCTAGGGCTCTTATCGTTCACTTCAAGATGAATATGTGAACTATAGAAAGAAATGTAATACTAAAAATATACTTGAAACAGGTAATTTTCCAATGACACCTGCTTCGGTTTGGGCACTCGGGCAGTATCACATCCCTCACACATATCAAATGAGATCTGTGTGGCGCATATGTATTTGGTGCCTCCTTGTACCAATATCTGTGTGTTAAAATAAATTAAAATAATGAGTAGATTTGAGAGTTATCATAGTTCTGTTTGGCATTAGAAAATATGTTTCATCGCATTAATTTTAGTTGTCCACCTCTAACACTTGATCCTATTTCAAGTATGTGGATGATGAAAATGTAATTAATGCAAAGTAGAGAATGCCCCAAGCACATATGTATTTAAAAGTAGACAAATTGACTCACTCAAGGACTTGTTAGCTTTTACGTTTATTGTATGTTTGGTTATACTTCCATTTGACTTGCCACGCAACCTACAGATATTAAATGACATGTCAGGCTTACTTGGTATGATAGAAATTAACAAAGCTTTCTAAAGTAAATGTATTACCTATTGAATCAAATAGTCACCTTCGAATACTATTTAATTCAAATGTTGTATTCACAAAATAATTGAAAGGGCTGGGGCCACTGAGTTTTAAGTGTTTTGGGTGTCTAAAATTGATGTATTCATTATGAGAACATCATTCATTCTGTAGATATGAATGTACATCTATCGGATGTGTCCATGAGTATAATTATAAACTCATGTCTTAGATTGTACTACCGAAAATACCATTAAGATATAATCGCATTTGAAGTTATTTAATAGATAATTCCAGTAGACATATTGTTGTCCATAAATAACCATTGTCCTAGAAGTGACTAGTGCTTTTCTTTTTTAGCAAGTACTCATTTGGAGTTTCGTCATGTGTTACCGAAGTAACTTATTAGCTGGTTGATGACGTTGTGAGTCTTTATTGACTGAGGTGGTTTAGATATGTGTCAAGTATGCCTAACCACCGTCTACATATACAGATATTAGCTAGTGTAGAAGAAGATTAAAAGAAAGCTAGATGAGAACAAACCAAGGTGTATCGTCGGTCAGAGAACTCCCTCACTGCTGATCTGTGACTTTGATAGATAAAGACTACCTGGTAGTGGCCCTCATGGTTATTGCAATCAGTAGGTTGTGACATTGAAGGATGTGGTTCAGAGTAGGTCACAATGGCTTAAATTCATTCAGTCCTTGTCTTCCCCCAGTCCCTGAGTTTCCGTATTCCTTCATCCTACATTTTCATCGTGTTTTTTTGAAATAATATTCTCACTAGGACAGATATAGGCAGATCCAACTGAAGCTTCTTAAACAAGATGAAGCATGAATTCTAGCTTCAACTACTGACCGATTCGGTATATAAATATCATACGGGTTTTATAGTTTTTTATTGATTTGGCAATATAAATGTTTTTGTTCATAGTGGTATTGCATATATCCATACTTAGTTAAGATTATTTGATGTCAGTGTTAAAATTATATTTAAGTTGTATGTTAGGTATTATTTTATCAGCTTTCTAGTTTTTTTATTATTTAAAACATTTCGTTAGTTTCGAAGGTTAAACGGCTACTATGTTTGTGATTCGAAAGTCACTCCATCTTTACTTCAATTTAAACAATTGAATAATCATTTTCATCACAAGAAAAGATTGATCTTCACTACTTGTGTTCGTTGAATTATTCAGCATGAAATTGTGCAAATGTTTCTAAAGTTCATGTCTAGTGATAATAAGGTGATCGATTCTGGAATATTTCAAGCTTATGATTGAATGTGAATGGAATGATAGAGAGAAGGATTTTAAAGATGACTATTAACTAACTATAGTAATAACTAATACTAATTAAAATAAAAATGATGATAGATTTTATGTTACCGTTTGTTCAGTGAAGTATTCCACGTTCACTTAGTAGTGGGAAATATCCTAAAGACTGGAATAATAAACATTTTACTATGGTTTCATTCAGTAGTGTGGTATAATTTTATAGATTAAGTTACTCTGATGATCTGTTCTTCGCTTTTTCTTTTCTATAATTATTTTAAGATAAATTGAATTAAAAGTCTTTATTCTAAATGATAAATCAGATTGATGTTGTAATGCCAATACGAAATATCCATTGATTATTAACACAGTTGTTATCATAACAGGATGTGGATTTAGTTCAGTGAAGTTATTGACTTCTGATGTAGTCCATTGTCTTAATAATAATAATAATAATAATAATAATAATAATAATAATAATAATAATAATAATAATAATAATAATAATAATAATAATAGTCATCTTATTCAGTAATATATGCTTGATTACTATGCCTAAGTCTATGCGTGGATTGTATGATATTTTAATGAATCCTATTTATTCATTTAACTTTTGAATATTAGAAAAAAATACACTAACTAGTTGAAACAAATCCAGGTAAAAAATTCTCTGAAATAGTTTTACACAGTTGAAAAATTATGTATTCTGGTATTTAAGAAAGAGAATCTTATTGAAGCCTAGATTATTTTTTCTTTACATCTATCCGATAACTAAAATAAAAATGAATCTTTGACGACTTAGTGGAATTGTTGTTTTTGTAAAGCATTGATTATTGTCTCTTTATCTCTTTCTGTATTTGCACTTAATCGGTGTCTATTGTGTTTTATTCTTGATCTTGTTATATATCAGTACTTTATATAAATCATGAACCGACTTGAAAGCACTGGACGGCCGTTTTGTTCTAGTATGGGACTTCTCAGGATTTCAATCATTTCAATAAGATTTAGCAATCTCCACAATGTCGTACTGAGAATTGTCATGTGCTCACTGGTGACTAGCTTCGAAAGTTAATTCTCGGCGTTCTGTGAGAAGCCGTAACCAGTGGAGTTCAACCGTGTAGGTTTGATGTCACGTACTCATCAAAG